CTTAGGATCAGCGATCCCATTCAACCTCAAAATCACCTCCTCCGTCGTCCCAAACTCGCCCGCAATCTCCCCAACCGAACTCCCTTTCTTGACAACATGCCCCAGATGCACCACCTCCTTCCCGTCAACATCGTCGCAGCTGCAGGGAAGCGGTATCCAGAGCCTCTGCCCTGCGTTAATCACATCCGCATCCTTCAACCCATTCACCTTGGAAATATCTTCATAACTAACAAACTGGTCGAAGGTGTATCGGGCGATGGCGTCGAGGCCGGCGGTGTCGGTGGGCTTGACGATGTAAAAGGGGGTGCGATCGTAGATGCCGGTGCCGTTGGATCAGGAGCAGGGGAAGGGGATGAGGATGGTGGAGGTTGGCGGCGACGGGAAGGAGGAGGGGGTGGCAGAGAGGGAGGTTGTTGGCGCCGAGGAGGGAGGGGAGGGAGGTGAGGTTGAAAGAGGGATTGGAGGGAGGAAAGGGTGGTGGCGTTTGGGGGGATGTAACCGGCCAGTGACTGGCAGGTGCGGTCGGGAGGGGGGTTTGCAGGGGAAAGCCGAGAGGGGTGGTGGAGGGAGGAGAGAGAGAGGGTGATGAGTAGGAGGAGGAGGATGGAGGGGAAGTGAGTTCATTTTCTTTACTTTCTTTGGATGCGAGAGAGAGGATGGGGGTTTGGGGGTTTTATCAGTGCGCCCAGAAGTTACCGTGGGAGCGAGGCTGGAGGAATGTAATTATTTTATTAGATTTATGGGAAAATTGCTTCTAGCCTCTAAAATAACAATAACTATTCTTTCCTTACTCAAGACTTTTTCAACACTCCCAAAACTCCCAAAAGCAAAGCCACAATTCTCTGAGCCCCAAAACATAAAACCCAATAGTTTAAAACATGTGAAGACCATAATACTGTTTCTCTCTCTTTTCATGATGTCACTGTGATGATTTGAAATAGAATTTTTGGGAAAAAATTCTAGTTCCGTCCAAATTTATATATTGTTGTGATCTTGAAGATGGTGACGACGAAGACGGTGGATCGTTTAAGACGAAGAAGTTTGGGATCAAGGAGAGTTGCGATGGATTCAACGTTGTCGTTCCGAAGAAAAAGGCGAGAACTCTGGCGACTCCCGGTATAATTTCCCCCCTTTTTTTAGCTTATACTTGAATCTGATGCTATATTTTTTATTATTTTACATATTATTATAATTTTTTGAAATTGATGACTTGAAATAAAAACAGAGTTTGTAAATTCGCATATTGTTGTTATTTTACTATAATGAGTTTGTTGTTAAGGTAATGAATTAGTTGTGACGGAAGGTTACGAGTTGGTTGTGAATGTTACGCGTTGGTTGTGAATGTTACGAGTTGGCTATCAAAGTTACGAGTTGGTAGTGAATGATATGAGTTGGTTGTCAAGGTTACGAGTTGGCTGTGAAAGTTACGCGTTGGTTGTGAATGTTATGAGTTTGTTGTGAATGTTACGAGTTCTTTGTGAAGGTTACGAGTTGGTTGTGAACCTCTACAATGAGTTGATTGTTGTTAACTAACATTCACAACCAACTCGTAACATTTACAACCAACTCATAACTTTGACAATCAACTCGTAACCTTCCTTCACAACCAACTCATAAACTTAATAACAAACTCATTACAGTAAAATAACAATAATATATAAATTTACAGACTATGCTTTAATCTCAAGTCATCGATTTCAAAAAGATTACAATAATATGTAAAATAACAAAAAAATATAGCACTTAGATTTAAGTACAAGTTAAAAAAGGGAAAAAAATTACACCGGGAGTCGCCGAAGTTTTTGTCTTTTTTTGGAACGGCAACGCTGAATCTATCGCAACTCGTCATCACTGTCTTCAAGATCGCAATTTTCTTCGCCTAATGAACGAACACTGGGAAAGTTCCATCGCCGATATCGACGCCGTTGGAAAAATTTAGAGGGAACTAGAATCCCCCCCCCCCCCCCCAAAAAAAACCCATTTTAAATCATCACAGTGACATCATAAGAGAGATAGAGAGAGAGAAATGATATTATGGTCTTCACATATTTTAAACTATTGGGTTTTGTGTTTTCGGGGCTCAGAGAATTGTGATTTTGCTTTTGGAGGTTTTGGGAATATTGAAAAGTCTTGGGTGGAGGAAGAACAGTTATTGTTATTTCGGAGGCTAGAAGCAATTTTTCCTAGATTTATTGAGCACTATTGATCTAATTACTTAAGGAGAAATTTTTGTAGCGTCCAAATCTTGACTCACTGACTTGTCATAGAAAGGTTTGTAAAGTAAATTATTATATCATTTTGAATGATTCTTTCTTTAAAAAATGTTTTCTTTTTTTTCTTTTTTTTTCTGCTAGATTTTCTTTTAGTCAAAGAAATTTCAATAATTTTTTAAGCCTCACAATATTGCACAATTTAGACTGATTAATAATACCGTCCCAATTTTGACATCCATAGGAAAAATTAGTGTACATTTTGCCGGTTAAATTGTGATTTTCACTTTGAGGAAGTTTTTCTTAAAAAATCTTAAAGTTAGTCATTTACGCATCTTACTTAACTAGTAGTTCTAACCATTTGGCAAAGGGTTTCATGATACGTGTACCATGTAAAAAGTTGAGAATTACGAGCTGAGCCGTCAATGGGAACGTGGAAAAGGAAAAGTCTGAAGAAGAAAAAGCCAAGGAAATGTTATGGGCCTCTTGTCTAGCTTTGTGGAAAAGTCCAATACACTGGGTCAATGGAGAATGATTCGCCTGTGCCGTCTTAATCGTTGAAGTCTTCCTTGTTAATGCAGGAAAATAAATATTTTTAAGACCTCTAGAATCGCAAGGGGAAAAACTACAAAATCAATAGGAAGACACTCTAAAAAACGCTACTATGGTACAAGGAGGAAGCCTCTAACTAGACGAAAAACTCTCATAAAGAGAGAAACTCCACAAGCGAGTTTCTCAATATGTACGAGTAATCTCTTCAATACTTACAGGAGTATCCGAAGAATCACTATTCAATTTATTCATGACTCTACAAGCGAGTTTCTCAATATGTACAAGTAATCTACTCTTCTATACTTAAAGGAGGATCCAAATAATCACTATTCAATGTGTTCATGCTACAGTAAACGTTGTAGTGGGAACAGTAAATCGATCACCCATCGTAACAGTAAAAATATTGCACTATGAATAGTAAATTGGTCACAACCCAGCTAAGTAAATATTGTAGGCTGTAGCATAAACACTGAATCACAATAACTCAAATCAGGCACTATATTTTTGAAGTTACTGTTTATGCTACAGTATTTTACTGTATCGTGAACAGTAAATCAAATCAAATGTATTACAACTTAGATTCTCCTATAAGTATAAAAGAGTAGGTAGAATTTCTAATTTTAAGTATACAATAATTAAATTAAATATAATAAAACTTAGGGAGAGGTAAGTTTAAAATGTAACACTTAAAAAAATTGGGGCCGTGTTTTGCACGCCTGCACACTAGTGTGCATTAATGGACAAAAGTCATAGACAACAAAGGGTAGTAAGGATGCATCGCGAGGAGCGGGGGAGCCAGGCCAAATTGTGGACAAATGCCCTCACTAATTTTTTTTTAGATTTACGAATAGACCTATCATATGTACTACAGTTATTCTTGGGATCAAGCCTTATTATTTGCCTGCAATTGATATATTAGACACGTGACTATTCAAGTTAATTTACAATTTAATTTCACCATACGACACTTGTAGATTTACATTCTATTTTTTATTAGGCTTAAAAACCAATTTGGTCCCGGTACTTGGCATTCATTCTAAGAATGGTCATTGTATTTTCTTTTTTCTCAACTTAGTCTCTGTACCCTATCTCCAGGGTCGTACCTAGGAATTTTGGGGCCCAAGACGAAATATTAGATGAGGCCTAAGTGATACACCTCATAATAGATTTTATCTCATTCTTCTTACCTTTTGAGTTGCAAAATTACTAATTAAAGTTTTATATTCGATTTTATCTCATTCTTCTTACCTTTTGAGTTGCAAAATTACTAATTAAAGTTTTATATTCAATATTTTCTAACATGTTATTTTCGATAGATAATATTGCTAAACCATTCAATCTATTGTAGGCTGTCTAAAAATCACAATAGATAGCTGATCCCCATCAAACACCGATGATGGAAGTTACAATCTGACGACTTCCAGAAGGCTACAATTTGAAGACTTTCACGTAGATCGATGAAGGTTACAATCTAACGACCTTCACAACAATTGATGGAAGCTCTAATCAAACAGCCTTCATAATCAACATCGGGAGTTACAATCTGACGACTCTCATATATCAGAGAGCTAAAGCAAAGATTACAAAATGACGATCATTGCAACGCTTCGACAGAAAGAGACTACAAATCGACGATCTCTTCAAACCAAGACGTGGAAGTCCTCCCCGCGTACCAGCATCAAGATGCGCCGCGTTCATAGCCACGAACGCAGCTCAACGCAGCTCATACCACGGCTCAAACGTAACTCCAAAAGCTGCAAACGCAGCTCACATCAGCCGCTGAACGCAACTCAAATTCCAGAGCTTGAAGCAGGTGGCAATCAGGCCTGCTGACCGCGGTCGAATATCAGCGGCGCGAAGAGTGAACGCAGCTTCACGACTGCCGACCGCAAGCTCAGCTGATTCGAAACGCCAAGGTTCTATACTGCTGCGCAACGACTCTTAACATAAGAAGCAGCTCATTGCATGCAGACGCCCTCCGAATGCTGGTTCAACCCGGCAATTTTTGCCAGAACGCAGGATCTGGTGTTGCACTCGTTCGAAAACAGCGAGTTGAATGGTTTCAAAACACCTTTAACTCCACGTATCTGGGGGATCACAATATCAGGATGATTTTAAGGGGTTACATCATTAGCCCACAGTTGAGGGAGCGAAATTAAGGAGTGGTTACCCCTATCCCACTATAACTATCAACAATCAACAGGAGTTAAAGATCGGATTTTTAGTCATTTTTTGTTTAGTCGGTTTGGGATATTGGAGAATCCTGGACAGTTTCTTCTCCTTGGCTTATAACGACTTTCGGTATAATACTCTTTATAGAGTTTAAGACAGTCAGAAGTTCCTACAACGTCAAATCGTGAGAGAGAAGAAGTTTCCAGTGCAAACAAGACATCGGATCGGTCAACGGCAGAAGCAACGCGACGCCGAGCACTCAAGACGGGCTCTCGATCGGCTACAAGAGACCTAATTAAAAAGGGAGACTCCAGATTTCTCTGGTCTCTTTTGTAATCGGATCCAATTGTAATCGTTTAAGAAGAATACAAAGTCAATTTTTTCTGTTCATGTTTTTTTACTTCAAATTTCCCACACAACTCTAGTTTGTAAGTTGGTCGTTTTCTTAATAGTTTTCAGTATGTTTAATTTTGAAAAACTTCTTTCAGCTGAAGCAACTGTTACGGATATAGTCAATAGTACACGATAAGCAATACAAGTATTTGGAAAAGAATCTAACCACTTTATATAGTTCAACACTTCAATTGGACTATTAATCTCTACTTTTAAAATTTTCCTAAGCACTCTCAATTCTGAAAACAAATCAAGTCCATTAATATCTAAATGTTCATCATGCC